TTGCTGTATGCTGTATGCTGTATGGTGTATGTCTCTTGCTCGCCTGCTCCCTCGATGGATAGATGGATGGACAGGCCAAAACAGGCAAGAGTCGTCGGCAGGCGGCAGGCGGCAGGCGGCACTCTCGGACATACGCTGGACAGACCTGGGGACCTGGACATGGACATGGACCTGGAGACCGAGTTAAGATGAGTTGAGATGAGCTGTCCGAGGCTGGGGCCATTTTTATCGAATGGATTAGAGGCCAAGCCATTGTTCAGTCTAGTTTGGTTAGCTGCTCTCTCTCTCTCTCTTTTATCTGCTCTTTTTTTTTGTTTTTAGTTTTTTTTTTTGCTTGCCTGTTCGTTGGTGTTTGTTGTTGGTTCGTTCGCCATCGCTTTGAACAGGCTGGCACCGGTACTGGGGCTGTCGCCTTTAGCTTGTTTCAGTTTTGGGTTGCCTCCTTTTGCCATTAACCTGGTAAATTACGAATGAGGCAAAGTGGATTTAAGTTTTGCCTCTCCACTCCACACTCCACGTACACACTCCACTTCACTCCACACTCCACCTCACAGTCCACTCCACACACACACAGTCCACTCTTCGCTGTGAGGCCCTGATCCTGGCAATGATTGCAGTGTGGACTACAAAATTGTTTCTCCACCGTTGTCGCACAACCAGCCATGCACATACACATACATATACATATATAGATCCCATATATATATATATATATATACTGCATGTAGTAGACAGTATCCCAGTATCCGTCTTGCCCTTTTTGTGTCCCGGGCAGGGCAACAAAATCTGAACAGATAATGACCACTGTTCTCGCACTCAACTACAAGATGAGCGGCTGATATGACGATGACGAATGCGACGATTTTGAGAGAGATCCCAGCGTTAACGTTGACTGCCACATGCCTCATGCCTCATGCCTCATGCCCTGGAGGTGGGTGACTCGCAGCAGACAAACAGACAGATGGACAGATGGACTGACTGACAGACAGACAGACATGATGATGGTTATGTTGATGCTGTTTGTGTGTGTGTGTGTGTGTTCTGTTACCATTGCCCTGGCCCTGGCTCTGGCCCAACAGAAGGGGAGAAAATTCCATAAAGAAACTGGGCAAACTGGCCGGCCCTTGCCTGCGTCTCGTATTTTCTGGCTAAGATCTCTGGCTGCTGCTGCTGCTGCGTCCTGTTATTGTAATAATGAGTTTTTAGTGATGCGCATCGATTTGTCAATTGATGATTTGTTGTTTTCAGGCCTCAACTTCAACTTTGTTCGGTTTCATTTTTCCTTTTTTTTTTTTTTTTGCCTTTTTGCCTTCTTCTGCTCGGGCCTTTTTTTTGTTGTATTTTGGTAGGAATCGGAATCGGCATTCAAGTATATCATTAATTCCACTTTTGTCATATTGAGAGCTTTTACAATATAATATTTGATTAATCGCCTAGCTCCATGGCGGTTCCAGCTCATGGGGAGTGAGAAATTGTCACAATTATTGATGCCTCCTTCGCGCAGTAATTTATCTCTCGTCGTGTGTTCGTTAAAGGATTCGCTGCCAATGTTCTCGGACATTGTTGTAACAACTGCATTGAATCATTGAATCATTAAAGGTTATTAATTTACCCACCATGAGACTCGATTTTGGCCATTTGTTTCATCATCGTTCAAGTGTCCAGAGAGGCGTACAACACACAGAGAGATAAATGGCATAGTGAAAAGAAGACAAAAGAAACACAGTCAGATTAATATTGAAATATATATGATTTTTACCATAGTGAAATTAAATAGCAATAGAAATTTTATTTAAATGTAAAAAAATATTAAAATTAAATAACTATAGTTTTTATTTAACTTTAATCTTTATTTAAAATATGAAATAGATATATGAAATACTTCATATAAATATAAAACATTTTAAAATAAATATCTAAAATATCTAAATTTAATCTAAATTCGAAAAAATTTAATTTAAGTAGGAAACAAATGTAATTTAAATATATTTATTTTATACATGAAAATATATTTGGATAGAAAATGTTCACACTCATATTAAAGTTAAATGGTCAATTAATGAAAAGCTTTAGTTTTAGTTCGATAAATCAAAGATTTCTCAGTCCTTTTATCTGTGGGATATCAGTGAGTGAAACAAGAGGAAACGAGAAGGAACGTGTGAGTCGTTTCTGTGGACGCGACTCTACTTTCATACTCGTACTCAGTCAGTATATAAATATGTGAGCTTATGATTTATGTAAAATTTTGAAATACACTTGTAACAGTGTGGATATTACTTGAGTCTGGAAACAAAATTTGGTTGCTCTAGCTCTTATAGTCTCTGAGTTTTCTAATCTAATATCTAATGTACCCCTTAACTCATTTTGAGTACGTGTATAAAAATAGTTTTTTATATCCCTAGAAATTCGATTCTCGATTCTTACGGTATTTCTTTGGATTTTATTAAAGACTATACGAGCGAAAATTCAAATGGAATTTGCTCCTGATGCACTGATGCAGGACTATTTTATGGCCTTTGATTTTGTTTAATTCGAGAAGCTGTAGTTTTAAGTCGACTTATCCATGACTATTAGGCTGGGGAGAATAATCTGCTTTTAGTTATCCAAAAATGTTGGCAGCTTTGTATGTATGTATGTACATCGCATATTTGTTTGGCTGTTAATTGGAATATCAGTCTTTGTCAGTTTCTAGAGGACATTTAGCCCCATAGTGCTGCCAGTAATTGGAATCACAGGCCTGTAGTATTTTTGGAATAACGTAACGAATGCGAATACTTGTACTTGCACCCATCCAATGATGGGTGCACCCATCAGAGGCAGGCAGTTCGAAGCTAGGCAAAGGACCCATCCATGTACACGATGGGGGGTGGGTGCCGATGTGGCGATGTGGCAGGTTCTTTCACATGGATGGATGCATGTAAATGGCTCCTGGTACATAGTGGTAGTCAGGAGGGAGTCCAGGGGTTTGGTTTGGACTTACGGCGCAGGTAAAATGTCGGTCGGACGGTGGCACACACACACACACACACACACACGTAGATGGAGCAGATGGATGGATAGATACGGAGCGTGTATCTATATGTTTACGGGGAGGCATATACTACACACACATACACACCCATGTGTGAATGTGTGGGGCGGAGGATCCCAGGGCAAAATGCAGTCGCAACAAAACTGAAACTGAATGCTTTGGGGTGGGCGTGGACTGTGTCTGGGGGGCTGTGGCACGGACACAGGCATGGTGTGGCAATGTTGGCAGTCAAAAACTGATAATGTACTTCTGCCAACTGCAACTAATTTGTTAGTAGGAGCAGCAGCGGGGTCTACTACTCGTACGTTACGTACGTCTGCCGCCGCCATCGTAAATATTGCTGCGACCACGGACACTTTCGCAGTATCTACCCAAAAACAACAACAACAAAAAAAAAAAAAACAGAAACCCCCCAGCCCCCCACGGGCCTTGATAAACATTCTCGATATTTAGCGTTAGTTTAGATTGTTATGGGGCACATGCCGCTCAGACCCACCCACCCACACACACACAACACAGCAGTGGCCCAGCCCCCTGCCCTCCCTCACAGTAGACATGCAAAATAATCATTTTCGGCATATACGGCCAAACAAATGGTAAATGGTAAAATGGCAAGGGTCTGCTCTGTACAGGGGAATTTGTCAATCACAAATGTTTGATTTAAAGATTGCTTCAAGTATTCGATATTAATTATTAGAATTTAGTGGAAAAAATGGTGATAAAAATTCCAAAAAAATGTAGTCAGAATTTCTATAATTTATGGAATTTTAGTTTAAAGGAACTTCCCAATAAAATCATATTTATTAATGTTAAAAAACCCGTTTAAGAGACAAAGAAGAAAGTGCAAAATTTGTACCCAGAAATAATTTTTGGGCATCAGAAAATTCTTCTAAATAATATTCGATTGAATTATAATGCAAATTCTGAACCAAAAATAGCAACAAAAATCCAAAATAAACATATATGCTACGTTCAATCCTCAAAGTGTCTAAAATAAATTCCAAAGACAATATCTACCGTTTATATTCAAGGTTGTTTTCAGGTATATTTACTCGTTACTTTATTAGTTTAAATATAAATTATTTTAGGTAAATAAATCAAAGTATTCTTTAAGCATTCCAATACTCAAAGTGTCTAAAATAAATCTGGCTGGTCTAGGGTCCAGTTACTCGTTACTTTACTGTACTGTCCACTATTCGTTTTAGCATAATATATTTTAAATAAATAAATAAACGTATTCTTAATATTATGCAGAAAAAATAGCCATGGAAAATGCCCAACCAAAATGGCAATGGAAATCAAATTGAAATCATGTTTATGATTTTGTAAATTCCTTCGTAAGCTTTCTGCAACAAAGCATGAGTTTTATGAGTGACTTAGGTTTCTAGGTGCTATCAACCTCACTTTGGCAGTATATAGTATGTACGAGTGTTTCTGCTGGGTATAATTGGGTTGTATAAGCGTGAAGAATTTACAAATATTTTGCGAGGGTTGATTAACAAACTGGATTTGGATTGAGGCGCTCAATGCCAGCAGCAAATCTGGGCCAGGCACAAAAGAGGTGCTGGGAGTTAGAGGTGGGAGGATGGCAGGATGGCAGGATGGCAGGATGGAAGGATGGCAGGATGCGGAGCAGGTAGAATTAATCCAATTTAGAAAGCGTCTGGGCCATGCTGGCCCGAATGCTAATCCACGAAAGGAGCTGTGGCAGCAAAACGCATTCGTGGATGTGGGATCAATGAATGAATCCCATGGCTTTCATTGATCTGCGTTTTGCATGGCGATTAAAGGGGGAGATCTGCGCAGATCTGTGCCACACACAGGATATACCCATAATCCCCCCAGCTTTTCCTAGACCCAAGCCGCTTGGCATATACTCTCGTGTGTATATATGTACATATATATAGGCAACAGCCCAGCCGCAGCACTCACAGTTCAACAACGATCCTCTGACAAGTGACACATCGCAATGGATACGACCCACAGCCCGCAAGTGTTTCAGTCCAGCTTCTCCATACGGTCGCTGCTCGCCGCCAAGGGCGAGGAGTACTACCAGCAGCGGCCGGCCAGTCCCAGTCATTCGTGCAACAGCTCCGAGGATGCCGCCTCCTCCGATGAGACCTCCAGCGGCAGCGGTGGCAGTGTCACCACCAGCCCCAGCACAATAAGCGCAGGCGGCGGCGGCGGAGGCGCAGATAAGCGACCGTCGCATGATGCCAGCAAGCCGGCCTTCACCTACAGCGCCCTCATTGTGATGGCCATACGCAGCAGCCCAGAGAAGCGACTGACCCTCAGTGGCATCTGCAAGTGGATAGCCGACAATTTTGCGTACTACCAGAACCACAAGAGCGTCTGGCAGAACTCCATACGGCATAATCTCAGCCTGAATCCGTGCTTTGTGCGTGTGCCGCGTGCTCTGGATGATCCTGGACGGGGCCACTACTGGGCACTGGATCCCTATGCCGAGGATCTGACCATTGGCGAGACAACGGGCCGCCTGCGACGCAGCCAGCAGCATCTGCTGGGACGCTCCAAGGCGGCACATCCCTACCAGCAGCAGATGCAGCTTTATGCGCATTCCATGTTCAAGCCGCATGCCGCCTATTTTCCAATTGCAGAAACGGCACGACACCAACAGCAGCAGCAGCAACAGCAGCAGCAGCAGCAGCATCATACGATCATGATGCAGAAGTATCATCAGGCAACGGCAACTGCAGCAGCGGCACTGGCACAGGCCCAGGCCCAGGCACAGCAGGCGCATCGACAGCAGACGACGCTATCATCGCACTTCCATCAGCAGCAACATCAGCAGCAGCAGCAGCAGCATCATCGACCTGGTAACAGCAATTACTACCAGCGACATCAGCAGCAACAACAGCAACAGCAACAACAGCTACAGCAACAGCGGCAACACAATTATTACTTGCAACAGCAGCAACATCAGTTGCAGCAGCAACAGCAGCAGCAACAGCAATATCCAAGTACTTATGCCGACAAGTGGATGCGACAACCCATCGAATGCTTCTGGGGCTAGAATTAGGCATCCTTGCATCCCTTTAATCCCTTTGATTGACACCAAACTTTGTGCTTCAAGCTTTCCCCCCCTTGGCGTAGAACGCGGCTTAGTTAATTAGTTCAAAACAGCAACAGCAGCAACAGACAGCAGCAACAGCAGACAGCAGCAACAGCAGGCAACATTAGACTAAAGAATGACCTGCCTTGCATAACAGAGAACTCATTTATACAGCTGCTGTTAGTAAGGAAGTACAGTGAAACAGTCAACAGTATAACTACAGTGAAACAGTATTTAATGCTTTCTTTTTTTTTACTTAAATTAATTTTAACAGAGCTAAGATTTATATGTAGATAACAATTATACATAAATACATATATTTTGTTTACTATATATTAAATAACATTGCGAATAAAGTATGTTCAAAGGACAAACAAATGAAAGTGTTTTTTTAAGCTATGAAATAAAATATGGAGTTTTAATTTCTTAGTTCTAAGAACATAAATATGATAGACAAATTAAAAAAAATATTTCATAATAATATTTCATTGACAACATTGAGATAAAATAAAAGCACTGCATGAGACAAAAGTTTCTTATACTTCAAATTTGCAACTTTAACCCCCCAAAAATTTTTTTTTTTTAGTTCAAAAACTTTGATTTATTCACCAAATTGACGCACTTTTACGTGGCATAATTGTTAAACGGCATTTGCTGCGCGAATATCCATAAAAAATGGATGAATAAAACAGAGAATTGTATGAGCTATAACTGAATTTTTGATGAGTTTAAAGATAGAATAGATATAGCTAAAGATAAAGCGACACAAAATTGAATTATTTTCATTTAAATATCATTTAATTTCATGAGTTATTCCATTGAATTATTAGAGTATCTGCTTGAAATTAAATATTTTAAATTGTAAACTATGAAATTTCCACATACTCTCAGTTCGCCAACCAGTTAAAAGAAAGATACAGATGACCTTACTTACATGCCACAGCTAAAAATCTTTGAAAACTTTCGCCAATGACTTCGGTGGAGAGACCGACTGCTGACTACCTACCCCCCATCTGATTTGTGCAGCAGATAGTTGACCTTATGACGGAAATATGTATGCAGTATCTGGTACATCACGTAAAGAGTGTGTTCTTTTATGGCTCTTGCAGGCATAGATTTGTTTTCCTATTTGCTTTTATGCTGCTCGTTTCGTTTCGTTTTGTTTTGGGCTTTTTTTTTTTTTAAGTGCACCTGTCGTGTGGTACGAAGTGAACGTTAACCCAACCCCCGTCTATGGCACAGCCCCCAATGTTCTGCCGGCGAGCAGTGTCATCATCGTAGAGCATCTTTGGCCATAGCCACTGCCACTGCCACTGCCTCTGCCTCTCCCTCTGCCTCTCCCTCTGTCTATGTATCGATGGTACCAGCTTTCGATCGTAACTTAATGCTAGCGGTCAATAGCATTACTGAGGCAGCAGCGGCAGCAACAACAAAACACTGCAACACAGCAACAACAAATAGCTTATGAAAAGAGCTAATCTGATAATACAGAATTGAAAGGGGCGGTCACGGCACGAATTTTGCTACACGCTCTTGATACCAATGGCAGCAGCAGCAGCAGCCGCCGCAGCCTCCTCCTTCTCCAACTGCAAGTTGCAACGATTGACGATGGCAACGAGCGACGACCAACGACGTCAACTAAAAGAAAAAACAAAAAAAAAACTTCCATATTGGTATAGTGCACCTCATGCGGCTTTTGGAACAGAAGGGATCGATGGTCAGACAGTGAAATTGCATTAGGCTGGCTCTAAAAGTTGCGGCTGAACTTGTCTGCACTTGCATTATGGGTAGATATACGTACACTCGGCATACAGATACACAGATACATTCCATAGCCATGTTGTACCTGTGTACTCGTCGTAATAGAAGGTTGCCTCAACAGCAGCAGCAGCAGCAGCAGCAGCAGCAGCAGCAACAACAACACCCAAAGTGCTCATAATCTGTCGGGAGATTGGTGGCATGGGACCAGATGTCAATAATTCAGAGCAATACCGGTAGTTTGCTGTACCCCCAAAAGCAAATGGCTGGACGGCCCGAACCTTGCCATCACAGTACAAACGATTACACTGAAAATAGTTTGGAAATGCGAATGGTACTATATATGTACGTACGTAGCTGTGTACCCATGATATAGTGCTGCCCATCCATCATACATATATGCACATATATTGCTGCTGAAATTCTGTGGCTAGCATAAGAATAGTTGGCATTGACAGCATAAATGAATGAAGACTTTAACTTTAACTTTACACATGGAATAATATATTTAATTTTAGCGTTATGCGATGGAATTATTAAATAGCATTTAAAATAATCTTTAAATTTATTCCAGTAGTTATAGTAGCTAGCAATTATCAACTTGCATAGTCTCTATTAATAATAATAATAATAATAATATTAATAATAATAATAATAATAATACTAATAATAATAATAATAATAATAATAATTATAATAATATATGTATAATATAATATAATAATTCCTCCTCCTAATTATAGAAAACATTTAAAAGCAGGAAATATATATAGATAAAGGATTACAAATATTAAAAATAAAATAATAATAAAAAATAAAATAATTAAAAAAATTAAAATAAAAAATAATAGCAATAATACTAATAATATATAATATAATATTATAATCCCTCCTCTTAAATAAAGAAAACATTTAAAAGCAGGAAAAATATATAGAAAAAGGTTTACAAATATTAAAAATAAAATAATAATAAAATAGAATAATAATAAAATAAAATAATAAAAATATTAAAATAAAAATATTAATATTAAAATGAAAACCTTACCCAACCCTACATGCATATCATGCAACATTCCAAGACATAGCAAAAATTGTTTCGGTTAATCGATTTACTTCCGTACTTCCTTTTTATCTGTGCAGCGCCCCAAAGACGAAGCAGCCAGCAGAAGAACAGAGGAACAAAAGAAGAGATTAAAAATTGTGCTCAACTCAATTATAAAAATTCAACCCAATCTCAATTCCCGCGAATTGCCTTTGCCTTTGCCATTGCCATTCGGCCATTTTCAGGCTCGTATCGCATCGCATCGCATCGTATGGCACTCGTGGTATTATTTGCCATTCTGGGCTACACATCTTCTGATCCCGATTCACTTTTCACTCTGCTGCTCTCTTGTCTTGTGGTCATTCGTCATTTTAGGTACAGGCCAGAGAGACAGCGCGAGAGCTGGGTCCCAGTGTCCGGTGCTCAGTTTGCAGCGCCTCAATCTTCATTTCAATTCCGGGGACCGACCCCATCCTCAGCCGGGTCTCCCTGGGCCCAGCCAGTCATTGACACTGATATGTGTGGCAAGGTATGTCTTTTGAAATGACAATCTGCAATTTGCTATTCGAAAACGTTTAAAGTAATTTATTTTGTTCCCTGCCGAGGACGCGATCCGCGCGTTTGCCATGCCCCCCCCCCAAAAAGAGCTGGGGGAGCAGCGTGTAGCATAAATGTGCGAGTCGCGTTGTATTGGGGTTTTAATCTCTGGGCCGGATGTTTGTTTGGCCTTCGAGCTCCGTCCTGGAGCCATATTAGCCATGGGGCCATAGATGCGAGAGCTCTCTCTCTCTGTCGCTCTCTCTGTGTGCCAGACAACGTGACAAACGATTCTGATGTTCCATCTTACATTTAATTAATGACCTCTCCACTGCTCGGACTGACTTGCAAATCAATTCGTGTATCCCTGGAAATGAACCCAAAAAGGAACTGCACGGAAACACACACACGAATTCCGTTATGGTAAATTGACTTTTTGAATATTTCATGGGCAATGCCTAAAGCAATGCGAAATAGTTTACACACACACAAATCCCAGTACCCAACCCCATCCCCATGCCAATCCCCATCCCAATCCCAGTCCATGCTTGACCACTTCGTATCCGTGATTGAGCGCCGCTACATGTGTCTGTGTCCAAGCCATATGTCAACCCTTTTCTCGGGGGTGTCCACCGTGCAGTAGTCCTGGGACAGTCCTCAGTCCTGCTGCTGCTGCTACTGCTGCTACTGCTGATCCCAAGTCCTCTCATAAATAATGCAGTCAATTAAGTCAACTGAATGTGTCACAGCCAGCACAGGCAGCAAACAGGTATCCTTTTCACAGCAGTCTTGCGGGGTTTTGATATATGTAATCCCAGCCAAATAGTGAAGGAAGAAACTTTGAAGCTTCCGCTTAGCCTTTGTGTTGATTGGAAAAGATTTAAGGGGAATGCCAGCAGATATGGGCAGACAACATTTAACATCAGAAAATGAGCGGGAATGTTGCGCGTAGAATTCAAAAATATAATTCTAAAATTCGAATCAAAGAGCTCATTAAGGTGGAAAGAAAATCAATAAAGTGCAAGAATAAAAATAAATAATAAATAAATAAATAAAAATAATAAACAAATAAATAATAAATAAAATGTAAAATAAATAAAATATTAAAATAAATAAATAAAATATTAAAGCATTACTAGCGTTCGGTCTACATTGGCTTAAACAAAAGACAGAGAGCGAAGCGGAGAGCGGAGAGGGAGTCATTAATTCCGATACCATATGCGTATACAATAAATTGCAAAGGTTACATAACTCACAAGATAACTGCCTGAATATCGGGCA